GATGGGAAAATACTTGAGGCTGATGCTGTATCTTATTGTAATAAAGTTGATTATTATCTAGATCTTACAGTTACTTGTAGAATGACTTCAATTATTCAAAATATTGAATCACCTTCACATAAGATTTCGACTGAAATGAATATCGATGAAAACCCTAAAATCTCTAAAATTACATTGGCCGAACAGATTACTTATTTAGAAAAAGATTTCATACTCGTGGTTAAGAGCAAAGATCTTGATCAACCTCGGTAATATTTATGCAATAATGTTGGATCTTATTTTTTTATTTTTATTTTTATTTTTTTTTTTTTTAATAGAAAAAAATTTTTTTTTCTTTTAGAGCTTTCGTTGAATATAATCCCGAAACAGAAACCAAATGTGTTATGTTAACATTGATCCCGAAATTCGCGTTAAATACAACCATGACCGAGTTAGTTTTCGTCGTTGATAGGTACCGTTAAACAGATGACTTATTTTTTTTTTAAAAAAAAAAAATATAGATAATAACGATTATAATGATAAGAATAATGTTTTTCTGACAATTTTTTTGATAAAGGTCAGGATCTATGAGCGACGAACCTATGAAAAAGGCTGCGCAGGCACTTGAATTGTTATTACGTTCGCTGCCTGAAGATTGTTACTTTAATGTGGTATCTTTTGGATCTCATCACGATTCTCTTTTTCCAAAAAGTCAATTTTATTCCGAAACATCATTATCTCAGGCTATTAAACTTGCTCAATCTATGACCTCAGATTATGGTGGAACGGAAATTCATGGAGTATTAAAATGGGTTTTCGAGAATTCAAGAGATGATATGCCAACTTCTGTATTTCTCATTACAGATGGGGAAGTCTATAATGTCGAACAAATTGTAGAACTTGTACGTGAAAAGGAAGAAAAAAAGAAGGATGATTTGCGTCTTTTTTCATTAGGAATTGGTGATTCTGTTTCTCATAATTTAGTCGAATCTGTTGCTCGTGCTGGTAGAGGATATGCCCAATTTGTAACAACCAATGAAAGGATGGATAAAAAAGTTATTGGAATGTTGAGGAATGCATTAAAACCACCGATCAAAGATTATAAAATTACTTGGACTGACGTTGATTTCTCGGAATCAACCGAGAAGGAAGTTACTTCGATGGTGGAAGATAAGCCCGTTATTAGCTTACATAGCGACAAGACGGAACCTCCGCCATCACCTCCAAGTAATATCTTTACAGATATAAAGATTCGACAAGCTCCATATTTAATTCCACCTATTTATCCTGGCGCTCGCTTCGTTGTATATTGCATTTTGGAAAAAAA